TTCTCTTCTCTCTTTGATTTGAGACAATGAAGTAAGATGATGATAATTAACTTGGGTAAGACAAATTACAAGCCAAACGAAAGTGTGGTAGTAACAGCACACACACAAGAACAAAAACACATTTTGCTTAAGTTTTTTTTTGTTTTTTTTTTTTTCTTTTTCTTTTTGTAATTCTACTCAATTATCAAACACAAAGCATGTGTCTGTCTACTCTATGTGAAAAAGAAGTGATTGCTCAGAAATCTATTCTTGCATGTGAAGGGTAAAACTCAACTCTCCTTAAGAGTTTTAAAAGTATAAACTTACATTGGTGAGCATGTTATTCATATACTTGTCATGTAACTGTCACATACCTAGACATCGTGCCCCAGAATTTAGGAAAGGGCCTGCCAGATACCAGATGATCACCAGAAAAGCTCAGTCTTCTTGGGAGCTAATGTCATGTATAATTAGGTTCCAGGGTACAGTGAAAATATTTATTTGGTTGTTTTAGTTAAGATATTAATTCTTTAAGTATGGATGTGGAGTAGGTGGATTGGTATCACTTTAGAATTTTTTCAACATGCAAATTCCAGGCTGCGTTGAGCTCTGTTCAGTGCATCTAAACTTCAGGGGAGGAGAGCTTGTTCCTTCTATGAGCAAATCCTCCAGGTGATTATGATAAAAAGGCAATGTTTCAGGACTTGGATAATTAGGCACATAGACAGAGTCTGTACTGTCTGCTGTACAGTTTGGGCTCCATCTCATATACCTTCACTATCTGAACACCATTAGCCCTTTTCATTCACACACCATGGGATCTGTCTGAGTCTTGGTGGACTAAGAAGTAATTCTTCAGTGAAGCAGTGTCCCTGCTAGCAGCAGTTCCTTGGCTAATTGTGGGGACAGTGCTACTTCTCACATGTGAAGAAGGTGGGACAGATCCACATCCTGAGTTCTATGTGTGCTCTCTACGTTGTGACCACATAAGGATGTTTCCAGCTTATATCCTTCTTCATCCACAAATTACACAATGCCCTTTTGCTCTTTAAGTGCTCTGGTTCACATGATAAATTATATTATAGTGAAACTAAGTCATAAGTAATTCTAATACTGTTGGGAACTGGTCTGATAAGTTACTAGAAGAAAATGTTTAGAGCATAGAAATGAAATAGAATATGTAGGCAAAAGAAATCTAGAGATTGGGATGGGGCATTCTTAGAGTCCAAGAAATGTTACAGGCTAAATTTCTCATACAAATGAAGCTATGTGGCAGAAACTAAGTAATTCTCAGAAGCTAGTGTCTGGTGGAAGCAAAAATAGGGAAAGCTGGTAATGGGGTAATGCTTTGAAGTGAAGTCTTCTACATGACATAAGGGCAGGTTTTCTCTGTGATCATTCCCTGTGTTAGTCTGTCTTTCCTCATCAGGAGAAAATACGTAACACATGCAAGGGAACAGTTGTATTTTGGCTCATGGTTCAGTGACCTCAGTCCAGTCCACGGCTGGCTAACACCACAGCAGACACATCATGGCAGAGGGACACAGCTGAGGAGAGCTGCTGGAGTGAAGTCAGAAAGAGAAACTTGTGTCTGAGGAAAAGTGTGACTCTTCAGAGCCACTTCTCTAGGGCCCCTCCTCCAACAAGGCCACCCCCTCCTTAGAGTACATTTTGCTAGGAATTTGTCAAGGTTTATGATGAGGTTAGTTTCCTGGTGATCTAACTGCCTTCCAAAATTCCCACCTCTGAACACTTGACCCTTTGGGAAGACGTTTTTGGTCCAAAGTGCATCATCCCGCCAATAAAATACCAATTGAAGTTTCTTGCATCATTATTAGGGAGAAAGCTTGTGTCTCTTTGTTTCCCTATTTGTGTTGGTTCTGTGCATTTGAAATGTTTAGTAATCTACTTTCCACTAGTTCTGGGCTATATTGTAAAAAAGAGGTTATTATACAGCATAGCAGGATGATAGGTTACTTTCAATATCGGTTCAGCTATTTAAATTTGGTTAACAAGACTGATTCACACTTAATAATTTTGTATTTGTTTGTTGTAACAAAGCACCAATGACAGACTATTCAGATAATACAGCCTCTTGAGAAAAGAGTGAGTGTAATTATGCAAATATATAAATGACTGTTACTTTGTAGTATTATTTTTAATATTAACATTATAGATGAATTCTGCTCTAAAATGTCCACATGGGAGTTTTCACTGTAAACCACTTACAGTACTAAAAATTACTCATGTGGGGTGTTTTTCAGACTTTGTAAACAGTTTTCAAAAGGGCACCTTGTATGACAAATCTAATTTAAACCTAAAGAATATTTTTAAGCTAGGATGGGATTAGTTATTTAATTGTATGCTATACTTAATGTCAATAGTAAATGTCAATTCCGTTTTTGCTGTTGAACATTAGAGATGGGTTTAGCGTTGACACAGCCATAAAGGCTTTTTCCCAGATGTTTCGGGACTTGTGTCATTGAGCATCCTTATTGTCACTACAGAGTGATACCACCTCAGGTTCTTTCATGAACACAATAGGTGCCATGTCCTTCTTTCTTTTATTTATTTTTTTTTAACCATAGTCAATGTATTTTGTTTTCCTTCTCCAGGCTGGAATAATGCATTTTAATAAAATAACGTTCATTATGCAATTAATTGTTGCATTTTTCTAACTCTTAATGAACATTATAATTTAGAGTTAATAGCTACCTGGGAAAAAGAACAGTAATAATTTCTTACATTGCCCTTTGTTTAAATAGCACATAAATAATTAACATATTTGTTAATGTATTTGCTTAATTAAGTATTGTGTTTGAAGACAAGTAGCAGTATTATGTTCAAATTTAAAAATAATCTCTAACAACCATAAATAACTGAAAACTGGGTTTAGTTTGTTACCCTTTATTAAAATATATATGAAGAGACTAATTTTTCATTGTGCCACAAATATATACTTTTACTTTAAAAAAAAAAAAGAATTATGTACTTTAATTTCATCCCGTGTATATCTGAGGAGTTACCATGTACAAGAATATCAAAGTAACATGTTTTTATATTACAAAAATTTATTTACAATTAAATTTTTAATAATTTTCTGGCCATGGCATTTCACTTGTTTTAAGAATTAGTAAGGCATAGATTATAAGAAAGTGATTTTATTTTGGAATAAAGTAGTAGACTTTGTCTTAGGTTTATGTTTACTCACCATTTTTAACAGCTTAGGAATATTTAAACAGACTATTGATTATTATAAACCTTAAAATTATATTTCCCCTTCATTTGAAAAACAGGTATGTTGGGGTTAAATACAATTTGTGGTGGGTCCTCCTAACTGCCATTTCGGTTTCTATGTGTACCTCATGATTCACAAATCACTCTTTATAAGTATTTTTCTAGTTTTGAACTTTCAGCGAATAGGAAACCCCTAGACAAAAAGAGATGATAATTAGACCACAATTCCACAGACCCAGCAAGTACTTAGCTGGCATCATTTATCTCCATTTGCCTTTGATTTGATTTTTATTTGAATGTTCATATGCAATCCAGCCACACATCATTGCTTTTGCTCTTAGTAAATCCTCACTATAAAAGAGCAACCTATTTTCTATTTTGCATGTTTGCAGCCTTAAAATTGAGCCCAACTTCTGTGTTTACTTTATCTTATTAATATTTTTGCTAGATAGCACTACATAACGATTGTTGAGATACATTTATGGACTTATATTATCTCCAACAGTTCTATCCTTGCAAAGCTGACCTGAGAGTGGTCTCAAAATGGTCAATGTGTGTACCATTTTTATTCCTCATTCTAATTCAGAATGTGTTAATACTAAGCCTCACTTTCCTATTAAAGGATAATTAAAACCAGGTGTGGTGGCACATACCTGTAACCCCAGAGCTGGGGAGGTTTGAGACAGGAAGATCACTAGGAGTCTAAGCTGTATAGTTAGATCCTGTAACAAACAAGCAAACAAACAAATAAATAATGATTTTTAAAAAGAATCAATTTATTCTTTAATTTTAGACTTAAGTGTAAGAAATAAAAGATATGTCAGAGACAGAAATTGTGAAATAATAACAATTAAAATCAACTCAACAGATATTTGTAGTATAACTTTATTTATTTATTTATTTATTTATTTTCAATCATTCATTTACCTTTATTATAATGTTGTTGAAGCCATTTCAGTAGGTTGCATTTGTTGGCTAACTCATTTAATAAATGATAAAAGAAATAATTGTTGAACCTTTTTTTTTTCTTTCTGAGGTTCTTTATTTTTTTTCCTTTTTTTTTCAAAGTTTTATTGATAAACAGCAATGAGACAGTTTCAAATCCAATCGGAAGTACAGTTTCAACAAATAATACACTGCATATATTCTTCTTAGTGGTGAATTGCTGTACAAGAAGTGGACTTGTAAAGCTATTTATAAACACCATTAGAACAAATCATTCTATTCATTAAGAGAATGCAACTATATATCTATCCTAACCACTTGGAATACACAAATACAAAATGGACATTCATCAGTATACCCCATTTTTTCTAAGTTCTGTTATTGAATATTAAAGGTGTGTAAACTCAGCAAAATATTCTAAAAGAGTCCAGTAGCCCATAATAGCATTGGGTCTTCTGTTTAAGTAGCAATGTCTATTTATTTATTTTGGTAGAACCAGGGATTGAACTCAGGCCCTTGTGCTTGCTAGGGAAGCACTTATTCTACTGAGCCATCTCCCCAATATGCTCATTTAAATGTGATCATTTTGTTTCCTACTTGAAAAGCCTATACAGGATTTCTTTATAAGAAAAAAGAACTTTTATGCATTGTAAACAGAGCCCTTCCCTTGTCCCACAACTGAAGGCAAGACATATACATGTAGGTATGCAGTGAGCGTGACTGTGCAGCTAACTTCAGATCATCTTGCCTGCTATACCCATTTCTCTTAAACGCAGCTTTATCATTTCATGCAGTCATCATTTCCTGGGTTGAGTTTCTCATGCTTTCATCCTTTGCAGGTCAGTTTCTTCTGGAAGAAGCTCGCCTCTTAGAAGCAGCTGAGATGGCCAAAAAAGCCGCTGAGCTAGACAGTACCGAGTTCGATGTTGTCTTCAATGCTGCCCACATGCTCAGGTTAGTTGTGCTCGCGCACCTCAGAAGACCCATGCCCTGACTCTGCCAAAGCACTTAATTTTATTAGTTTCCCTGTCATCCCATCTCAATCCACATTCCTGTTAATAATCATGCTGTGTAGCCATGTGAGACTTGGAACAGTTTTATTTACTATCCTCTACATGTTCTGTATTCAGGACAGAGAGCCCCGAAACCCTGGAATATTTCCTAAACCCCCCCCCCTTCCTTTTCCTCTCCCTGCAGAAAGTGCTAGTAAAAAACAGACAGAAAACTATAAAATTGTATCTCATAATTGTCTAAGTGTCTCTAAAACAAAACATTGAAAGTCTTTCTCCGTATTTGTTTGTATATTGTTATTAAACATGGCATATGCATGCACTTGAATGTGTTAAACTAATTGTGGGATGGATTATGAAATACAAATATGCTTAAGGTTTCTGAATAACCCTATACTCAGCACTATTGCTGTGTTTTGAAACAATATATTTTTGGAATATTACCACTTCCATTTTCAGTTATTCAAAAGCTAATTATGAGAATACTCCCCCCTGAAAGTCAAAGCAGTTATTGTCATGAAAATAAAAAAGTACATCCATAAGTTGTGTTTTATGTGTTTTCAAAAAACTGAAATGGGTTATGCATAACTGTGAGTGCAGCTTAGTGCTTAGGTGTATGTGCAAGAGCTGGGGTTGGGGCAGGGGTTTAGCCCTCAGTACCAAAAAGAAAAAGAGAAGAGAAAGAGAAGAAGGAGAGAAGAGAATGGGTGGAAGAAGGAGAGAACATCATTTCTTTCTGTTAATGTGTACATTTTCTCTCCCATAGTCTTGCATTTTATTACATTAAATTAACACCTAACTGCTTCATTAAGTGATGTCCACACTGTGGTCTCTTCATAGTGACAGTTAGGGATAGATTTACAATTATTAGATTCCTGTCATAAGGGAAGAAAAGTAAGAAGTTTTAGTCTAGGGAGAGGCTCAGTCGTGGACCATTTTGTCTATAGATCATGCTCTGGGTTCAGTTCCCAGCATACACACATACATACATACACAGGCCTTTGAGAAATGTAGAATGACTGTATTATTTCACTTTTATTTTGAGGTCATTATAGACTCAGATGTTTATATAATAATTTATCTAGTTTCTCAAGTGATAATACCTTATAAAATTCTAGTGTATTACCATAGCCAGCACACTGATATTGATGCAGTTTGTGCAGTTCACTAACTATATTAAGTTTCCTTGGTTTTACTTGTACCGCCCCCATCTGTGCCTTTGCGTGTGTGTGTGTGTGTGTGTGTGTGTGTGTGTGTGTGTGTGTGTGTGTTTAGTTCCCTGAGTTCCCTGGGCACATGCGCAGGTTTTTGTGTCCATCACCACTGTGAAGTTACAATGTAGGTCAGTTATCACAAGTATCCTTGTGTTGTCCCTTTCTAAGCACAGCCCTTCCACTCCTGCCCCCAAGAAAGCAATATTTAAAGTAGACTTTATAGGTTAGTTTGCATTTATCATTTGATATGGCTGATGGATGTCTATCTTAGAAGCCTCCTTCGCTTTTTGCCAGTTCTAAGTAAGAAATCCAAAGCCTGGTTGAGAGAGCGGATATGCGGTGAGGTTTTGTGTTTAATATGTCTAAAGCATTTGTTTTATCATGAACCCAAGAAAGATGGCACCTGCAGAAGGAAAGCAGGAATCAGTTGATTATTGAGTATATTTGTAAATCAACGATAGTCAATTTACAATAACTTTCAACACAAGGATAATTTTGGTACCGTAGTTTGCATGACAAGTTAGGTGCCTGGCAGAGAGGAAGCCCTTGTGTTCTCCATGAATACAACACTATGCTTCTAGTCAAAGGAAACCACTGACAGGGACAAGAAAGCATGAGTTTCTATAGGCATATTCATCATACTCATAATAAATATTTTCATCAACAAGTCATTTGTTACGTAGTAAGTCAGTACCTGGTATTCAAGGTCTACCAATCGAAGCTCATTACAAGAATATTACGAAAATCTCCTTCTCGGGGCTGGAGAGATGGCTCAGTGGTCTAAGGCACCTACTTAGAACAAGCTTGACAAAGCATCAGGGACCGCGGTTCAATCCCCCAGCACCACAT